AAGGACTACCATTAATTAGGATAGAGATGTGAGTAGCAAAAAGGTTAGCCATTAGAAGTTCACAGGCTTTCCCAGAGAAACCTAAAGACTGAAGAACAAAGGTGATAAAATCCCATTCCATGTTATCAAAAGCCTTGGCTATATCTAGCTTTATGATAATATTTCCCCCTCTTGTCTTGTTGTCAATCTTGTGAACCATTTCTTCAGTGAGAAGAATCTGTTCTTCAATGCCCTTATTCTGTTGAAATCCTGTCTGCTCAAAAGATATGATTTTAGGGAGAATCTTTTGGAGTCTATTGGCCAGGATCTTTGTGTTTATCTTGCTCATGAAAGTGGATAGAGAAATGGGTCTGTAATCACTGAAATTTTTTGGGTCCTCCTTTTTGGGGATCAAGGTTAAGAAAGTACTTCCATAACTTTTAGGGACAGGGATCCCTAAAAATAATTCTTGAGAGGCACTGATAATGTCTTCCTTGACAATGTCCAGCAGGATTTAAAAAATTTGCCATTGAAACCATCCGGACCAGGAGCACTATCAGGATTCAGATTCCAAACCACTTCCTTAATCTCCTCTCCAGTAGGTACTTTAGTTAACTCTAGGTTGTCAGCCTCTGTAACTCTTACTTCCAAGTACTCCTTGATAGGGTTAAGATTGATAATCTTCTTACTACAGAAAAGCTAGGAGAAATGATCAACTGCTAATTTTTGGATTTCCTCTGATTTGTTGATAGGACCCCCCTTATTATTATCAATGGTTCTGATTGTGGATTTAATTCTCCTGCCTTTAACAAATGAATGAAAAAACTTGGAATTACTGTCACCTCCTTCCATCCAGTTGATATTAGCCTTTTGCTTCCAGAGGTTGATCTCATTTTCAGTAGCCAAAATAAGTTCAGCTTTGGCTTTATTAGCCTCAGTCCTATTGGCATCTGAGGGATCAAACTCAAACCTTTCTTGTGCTGAAGTTGCTTTGAGTTCTGCCTCTTTAATAGTATTCTCCACCCTACCAAAAACATCTTTGTTCCATTCTTTAAGTATAGCCTTGAGCCTTTTGAGTTTGTGAGCCAGCCCTGTCATACCCCCAAAACAGGTTTGAGAATTCCAGGAGTCTTTGAGAGTCTGCATGAAGTTAGGGTGATTCATCCAAATATTAAGGAATCTGAATGGTTTGGGCCCATCATAA